GGCCAGGTGCTCTGCTAGGGCTGTTGTGAACGTGTGTTCCCAGCTCCACGGCCAGGTGCTCTGCTCGGGCTGCAGGATCCTCGATGGGTGCTTGTTCTGCTGCAGATGAAAGGGGTGCCTGTGAGCAGAGCTAGGGCTAGACTGAAGGTCCCTGTCCCTGGCTCCACCTCTGGCCCTGCCTGGCTGGACTCCCCAGGCACCTGTAGCCGGTGGGCGCTGAGTGGAGCCCCTTCCCCCACTGGGTCGGCCAGACCCCCAGCACCCAGCCCTCTTGAGTTGGTGGCTTGTCCCTAGAGGCCACTGAGGGTGCACATGCAGGAGGAGGGGGCCCTCAGGAGGTGGGGGCATCTGAGACACCGCCCCCCCGCCCCCCTGCCTCCTGGCACTGGGGTGAAGGCGGCTGTCCCTGCTCTGTGTTGGCTGCAGGGGTTGTGTGAGCCCCCGGGGTGTTGGGGGTTTTTCAGCCCTTCGCCCCCAGGGTGGGCTCCCCACAGCCCCCTTCCCCAGGGTCTCCCCTCCTGGCCCTCAAGCCCCTGCTCATCTCTGGGCCAGTCAGGTGCACCTGTTGGGGGCTGGGGTCTTTCTGCCTCTGCTGGACCGGGGGCTGTGTGACAGGCCCTGTTGGAGGAAGCTGTGGGCCATGGGGATGCTCCTGCCTGGGCCCCTGGGAGCTGCCGCAGCCCTGGGGCTTCCAGAACATTCACCGGGCTCTTGCCTCTGCAGAGGAAGCCATCCCCGCAGTCTGCAAGACCAGAACGGTCATTTATGAGATACCTCGGAGCCAGGTGGACCCCACGTCTGCCAACTTTCTGATCTGGCCCCCGTGCGTGGAGGTGAAGCGCTGTACCGGCTGCTGCAACACCAGCAGTGTCAAGTGCCAACCGTCCCGCGTCCACCACCGGAGTGTCAAGGTGAGCTCGGCGTGCCCCGGCCCCAGGGGTAGCCCCACCCAGCTGGGCAGCCGGCGTGCTGCTGAGCCGGAGGACGCTCCCGTTTCTCTGACAGGCGCACCGAGGCCGGGGGTGGAGCCGGGGCTTGGGTCATGGTCGGTCACGCGAAGCAAGTTTGGATCTCGTGTCGCAGTTGTTTGCCTCACTGACGGGTCTCGCGAGGTGTCCGGCGACTTAGCTGGGAGCTGCCTGACGTCTCCTCCAGGCCCTGGAGAGGCCTCACGAGCACTTCAGTGTGGGCTATGGTGCACGGCAAGGGGCTGGTGGGCCCCTCAGGGCCTCACCCTGCTGGAGACAGGAAGGGAACGCTGGGGTGGGACCTGGTGGGGGGGGAGGCTGGGGGTCGGGTGGGCTCAGGCGAGGGGCCAGGCGCTCTGCCTGCCATGCTGGACCTCCGTCCCTGTGTGAAATCTGGGAGGGCGCCCCCGTTCCACTGGACGTGTGTGTCAGTGGAGTGCTAGCCAGAAGGGTCCTTCTGGGGGTGCTGAGGTGCTGGGGGTCAGGCCGCACCCCTGTTGCGGGGGGTGTACTCTTACTTGGAGACCCACAGGCCCCATGGCTTGGGTTGGATGTCCTCGCCGCCCTCCTGGGGCCCCTGGGAGCCAGCACATGGCCAGTGCTTGCCATGAAGCCCTCTCCCAGGCAGGGGGCTGGCTGTGATGACCTCTGAGGGCAGCACCGGGGGCATGCACAGAGGTCAGGCTCACATGACACGTCCAGGAGCTCCTCCGCTGAGTCCTGGGGAAGATTCTGCTTCCTCGGGTCACTGGGCAGCCAGACTGGGGCCTGGCTTTTGGCCCGGTGGCTGGAAGCCTTTCCCGGCCTTGGCCTGCTCCCCTCCGGCTGCACTTGCCTCTCGTGTGGAATGGGTCTGAGGCGCTGGGACTCAGGCTCTGGGACTGTGGAACTCCCATGGGGGCAGCTGGCCTTGCTATTTGGAGGCAAGGTTCCCTGCTTCTGGGTGTCAGTCTTTCTCTTTTCCAAAGAGCAGGTTGGAGGGAGGCTTCTAGACTGTCTCCTGGCTTCTCCGAAGTGTGGCTGAGGCTGGAGAATTCTGGGGGGGTTCCTGTCTAGAGGAGGGGCTGCCCCCCCCACCTGCCGGAAGCTGGGTCTGGGTGGGTCATGATCCCACGTGACCCTGGGGGCGTGGACTTGGCACCTTCCACGAGGAGCAGCCCCGCCCCCTCTCAGCTGGGCCTCCAGTGGCAGGGGGTCCATCTTTCCCGGAAGGAGGCCTTCGCTTGTGGGGTGCAGTAGAATTCATTTCTCCACTAGGAATGATTTCAGATCCCCTGTGAGTCAGTGAGTCTAGGCCTGTCAAGCCGGCCGCTGGCCCCCGAGTGAGGTGCGGGGTTAAGGACCCTGTAGCCGGCACGTGAGAAGCACTTTAGACTTGTAACTGGGACTTCACTTGACCTTGGGGACTTGGTCCTCTGCGTGCTTTGGGTGTTGAGTAAGCAAATTCCGCGCCTGCTGCCCCACGGTCTCAGGCAGACGCTCCCCTTGGGGCTGAGTTGCCCCTGGAGTGCTTGCCTGGGGCGCCGGCTTCCGCCTCAGGGCTCCAGACTCGGGCGTTAGGGCCCCCAGCCCAGCACTGCATCCCCACTGCCCCCGCTGATTCCTCTTCCTCAGTTAAAGGAGGAAACTGAGGTCTAACCGCCCTGCCTGTGGGGTCTCTGCCGCCAGCCCGGCCAGCCCGCCTCTGCTTCCTTGGGTCTGGGGGTCCTCGCTTGTGGCGTGTTGGAGGGGTCTTATGAGCCCCAAGAAGCTGGGTAACTGAGGTCTTTCTCTCTTGGGCATGGGGGTGGGGTGCCCAAGATTAGACTGTCCTGCAGGTGGGCTTTGGGGCCTGTCCTTAGGGCATGAGACAGGGGCTTGGAGGCACAGGGGAGCGGGAAGGGAGTGGGGCTCTCTGCTCGGGGGCTCCAGCCTTTGGGGATCCCCCAGTGCTCCCACCCCGGCTTCCCGCAGTGTGAGGACCAGGGCGTGTTCGGTCCTGGGATGGGCATTAACCCCGCCTCTCTGCCCTGGTCCACCCTGAGGGCGGGTAGGTGTGCAGAGCTCCTCGGGGATCCTAGCGGCACAGTGGGTGAGGATGGGTGGTCCACCTCCGCTTGGGCACAGGCCCGGGGCTCCCCCATGGGCCTCCGTCTGCCCAGAGGGCTCAGTCCTGCAGCCAGGGGCCAGGCAGCCTGGCTCCACGTCGGAGGCCCTGCCCCCCTCAGACCCGGTCCCCTTCCTCCGTCTCCTTCTTCAGGGAAGGCATCCCCTCCCTGCCCACCCATCCGAAGGTTGGCAGGAAAACATCCAGCCCCAGACACTGGGGGTTCTGGCAGAGAGGAGACAGAGGCCAGTGGGAACAGGAGGCCCCTTGTGGGGGCTGGCCTGGCCCCCCAGCCTGTCCAGGAGCCCTTCCTGTTCCGTTCGGGGTTGAGGCCGAGCAGGGAGGGGGCCCCTGGGAACCCCAGGCTGGGTGCGGTGTGATGACTGCTGGGGGTCGGTAGGGATGACGCCCTCCGGGTCGTGCACGGTCAGAGGCGCCCCTTATTGGAGGGAGATAACGGTGAGGTCGGGAGTGGTTGCCCTCCTGAGGCCCAGGTGGCCGAATGGCGCAAGGTGTCCTCAGCTGAAGGCAGCCCCCAGGCCCTGGGTCAGGACACGCCCCCCAGCTCCCCACCGTGACCTCCGTGAGGCGTTTTGTGCCCACAGCTCGCTGGCGGCCTTGGCCCTCCAGGGCCTGCCCTCGGGGTGGCATCTGGAGCGGGCCCCGGCACGCCTGCAGGCCCTCCAGCGTTGCCAGGTGGGCAGGGGTCCCGGGGGCCGACTTCCCTGCCCTCTGCTCAGCGTGGTCAGCGCTTGGGGTCTTCCCCGCAGTGCAGACCCCGGGCCGGGCTGGCAGTGGCTTGGGGTGAAGGAGCAGCTCTGAGCAGCCATGTCCCCACCTGCGGGCGGGCCTCCAGCCTCTCACACGGTGGCGGTGTCGGGCTCCATTTGCTTCAGGGCAGCCCGTGGGCCAGGCCTCCAGAAGCCCGGACCCAGCTCTGTGGTCATGCCCAGGGTGGTCGTCTGCAGCTCTGCTTTGCTAGACCTCAGGCTTCTGGAAAGTGGGTCTGGCGTGTCCACCTGGGATGTCCAGTAATGGGTCTCTGCACCCAGTATTGGACTGGGGGGTCGCTTTGGGTGGGAGGTCCCAGCTGGGGCCCCATGAGCCATTGCTGTTTGGGGAGCTAGTTTGGGGCTTTGGGGGGAAAGCAGTGGCAGTGGCAGTGAGTCTCAGGTAAAGGGCCCCTGAGTCCCTCCCCTCTGGTGGGTAGGGATGCCCTACCCTTGCCCGGGGGGAGCCCTAGCGGTCGGGGAGGCCAGCGCCTTGGAAGGTGGGCATGCTCCTAGGCCCTGGAGCTGGGTCGCTTTCTCTGTGCCATTGTAGCCCCTAAGCCGGGCCTGGAGGAGGACCACCGCCTGGGAGCCAGGTCGAGGTCTGTGGGCCGTGACCCCAGAGCCCTCACCCAGTAGACTCAGGGTGTCCCCCGGCTAAGCGGTGAGCCCAGGGCCTCCTCCTGGGGAAACAAGCCCTGTTCACGCTGCCCCAGTTTCCCCGACTGTAAAGCGGGCCGCTGCTGTGCCCTCAGGGTAGGCCTGGCACGTGGGGTTCAGCAGATACTGGTGTTTATTCTGGGTGGCACGCTGATAATCTGGGGGGTCCCCTGCAGGGCATGGCTCTCCCTGGCCCTCCTGGGGGCGTCCTGCCTCATAGCAGCCCAGCTCGGGGGGCCAGTGAGCGGCAGGAACTCAAGGCCCTGCTTGGAAGGGTGACGGCATTGTTGGATGGCGTCTCCTGTGGGTCTGCTCCGGGAACATGCGGGTGGGGTGTTCGTGACACAGCAGCTCCGTGGTGGGGAATCTGAATGTCAGGTTTTTCAGGTGCAGCCCAGGCTCCCAAGACAAACAGCGGGAAGGAGGGGGGGATGTGGGGCCCCAGTAGGCTCCAGTATGGGTCTGGGGCCCGAGGCAGTGGGATGGGGTCCCAAGGGTGTCAGCGTCTTGATCTGTGGCCTTGGCTATTGTGCAGGACGCTTTTGAGAATTTAATGCTCACAGCGTGTTCTTGGGGGAGAAAATGTAGCCATTTCCTGGCCAGACAGAGGTGCCTGACCGGCCTGGAACCCTTGCACGCCCAGAAGCAGGTGCCACCGAAAATTCCTGTTTGTTTTTCTTTGATAAGAAAAATAAGACTTTTCTCTAAAGACTTGAGCAGCTGGTGTCATGTGCCCTTCACCAAGGGGCCCACGGGGGACAGCGCCGCTGGACCGTGCACGGGTCCCATGGCCAGTCTGTCTGGTGGGTGGCAAGCCCGCCCCCGTGCCTGGGGCCCTGGGTCCTCGTACCTTCCCCGCAGAGGAAACCGGGGAGGTGCCCAGAAGGTGTAGCCACGTGGCCATGCCAGGCCTGGACGGGGGTCCCCCATCTTCTGGCCTCCAGGCCCTTTGTGAAGGACTGTCCCTGGGCTGGGGGCTTCTGCTCGTGGCCCGGGGCCCCGTTCACGTTGGCCAGCTCTGGACCACGAGCCAGGCTCCCCCGGGGCCTCCACGTGCCCAGGGTGAATGCTGGGTGGGCTCTGCTCCCTTCCTGCCTGTCTCCCCGGGAGAACGGCGAGGGGTGGAGTGGGTGTCCCTGAGGGCCATCCCGGGAACTGGGACCCGGGCAAGGTTGCAGGGCTGGGCCCGGCCCCACGTCAGGTGGCCGAGGGGTTCTCGTCTGGAGTCTATGGCAGGCCAGAATGTGCGTCCAGACCGACAGCCTCCCCATGAGCCCCGAGGGCTGCACGCTCCTCCGCGGGCCTCGGGGGGACAGGAGGGAGGGCGACACCCGAGCCGCAGACCACGAGCAGTAGCCCTGCTCCTCAGCTGCTGATAGGCAAGTACACATTGTCCCAGAGGTCCCTAAAACGTGGCCGCAAACACCTTCCTTCACCCAGAGCTCCCACCTTGAGTGCGTCCCTTCGGGCCTTCTCCTGGCGTGTGTGAGCCCTTTAGGTTTATTTTAAGTTAAAATAGGACCAGGGACTTCCCTGGTGGTCCCGTAGCCAAGACTCTAGGCTCCCAATGCAGGGGGCCTGGGTTCGATCCCTGGTCAGGGAACTAGATCCCACGTGTCGCAACTAAGAGTTCACATGCTGCAACTAAAAGATCCTGCATGCTGTAGCTAAGACGCGGGCGCAGCTAAATAAATAAATAAATATTAAACGAAAAGTGGGACCAAACCGCAAATGCCGCGCCAGAGCTTGCCGCTTCCTCCCCGAAGACCCTGCTTTTCCCACTGGGAGGAGCCCAGAGGTCAGCAGTCGGGCTGCCCGCACCCCGGGTGGGGCCCGGCACCTCCCCACCCCCAGGGCTGCGTGCACTTGTCCATAGCAGGCCGCTGTCTCGGCAGGTGGCCAAGGTGGAGTACGTCAGGAAGAAGCCAAAGTTAAAAGAGGTGCAGGTGCGGCTGGAGGAGCACCTGGAATGCACGTGCGCGAGCGCCAGCCCGAGCCCCGGCCACCGGGAAGAGGAGGCGGGTAAGGGGCGCCGTCCTGCTGCTGCAGCGGAGGGTCCGGAGCCTGGCTTCTGTGGCCGCGTCCGGCGGGCTCGGTGGGTGGGTGGGTGGGTGGGGGAGGCGGGATCGGGGGCTGTAGCCAAGGCCCGTTTACTAAGCTGCCCTTGTGGCCTGGGACCTGCTGGGGAGGGAGGGAGGTCTGGCCACTGTGCGGGTCCAGTCACCCGCCCAGCTGGTGGGGGGAGCGGGTGAGATGCGGCCGAGGAAGGGCCCTGTCCCCGGCGGGTGGTGGGCGCTGGCCGCGGCGTTGCCAGTCAGGGTCCTGGCCTCCCCCGGGGCAGACTTTGCCCAGAGCAGCCCGGCGTCGTGACCGCCGTGTTGGGCCAGCTTGAGGGGACCAGGAAGTGTCTCCGTGCCAGCGCCGTCGAGTTGTTTTACAGAAAGACAAACACCCCAGGTATTTACGGCTTCAGTTTCCACCCCACAGCCCTCCCTTAGGCCCTCTCACCCTCCCTGCCCTTCTGTCAACAGGAAGGCGTAGGGAGTCAGGTAAAAAACGGAAAAGAAAAAGGTTAAAACCCACCTAACGCGGTCCACCAGGTAGGAGCCGGCCGCCGGCCATGCCGCAGTCCTGGGGTGGGAGGCGCAGCGACTGATCACTCGGCGAATCACCCCGAAGGCGAGGACGCGCCCTGATTGGCCTTGATCCGTCCGCGAGCTTCTGCTGTCTGGCTGGGCTGCGGGTCTCCGCATTCCCATCCCCAACCCCTCCCCTCCCGCTGCTCGGGACACCTGGCCCATGGCTCCCTCCTGCTCCGGGGCCCCTGCTCTGGCTTTGGTCCTTGTTGATTGGGGAGGCAAAGGCATCACACAAGCGGAGTGATCTGGGTTCCCTGAGCAGCAATGGGGTAGCTCTGACGTTTACTCGCTGGGATCACCTCGGACAGGTTACCCACCTCCTTTGACAGATGAAAAAACTGAGGCTTAGAGGGATTACAGATGAAGATTGTTGAAGGCTGAGTAGATCCTGTCTGAAAATGCTTTGTAAACGTACAGAGCTGTTTGCTACTGTGTTGGCAGTTGTGTTTGGCTGCTAATAACATGCCAGAAACAGGGTTGAGATAAGGTAGGGAGACCAGAGCATGTATGGCAGTCTCAGGGACCCACTTCTTTCCAGGACTAGTGGTGTCCATCCTCAGAGTTGCCTCATGACCCGAGATGGCTGCCAAAGCTCCAGAAATCACGTTACACTCCAGGCCTGGAAGAAAGATTATGGTGGGGACTGGGGACAATGGTGAAAGGACCCAGTGACTTTTGCTTTGATCTCATTGGCCACCCCTCTGCTGTAAGGGGGCCTGGGAAAGGTGGTCTTTCAGAGGGGCTTCCCAGGAGAAAGTGGCTGTGGGCAACCATGGAGGAGGCAGTTTTAAGCCTTCCTGGTCCTTCGTGTTGGCCTGTCTGGCTCTGCAGAGCCTGGTCCTTGCTTCTGGGCATGTGGGAGCCCATGGCATCCAAAACAAATAGTTGTGAGAGGAATTCTTGGAGACAGGTGCCCGGGAGCCCAGGCTCCAGCTGAGTGATGTGTGACTGCAGAACGCTGCCAGGTCAGGAGTTTCTGAGGCCCGTAGGTCACGTCCCTTCAGGAGGATCCTCTGGGGAGGAAAGGTCCACGTGGACAGATCTTGAAGCAGCCCCAAAACGACTGCTCAGCCTTGGCTTTTGGGTCCCCAGGGTGTGGTGCAGGGGCTGGTTTTATACCTGCCTGTGCTGCCAAGTTCATGACCACTGGGCTTAGCCTCCATGGGCTAGCTGATGATTGATACCCCAAAGGGAGGGGCAGGCGTCCCTGCCTCCCTGCTAGCGTTCAGGCTGTGGGCATGTGGTGGTACAAGTGTTGGGATGAGCAACAGACAGGCGACGTAGGGTGGGGAAGAGCTGCTCTTAGCTTAGCTCAGTGTAGCTCTGCCTGGTCACAGAGACCCCTCTGTCTTGCTGGTGGCATCCATCCTCAGGGTTGCCTCATGGCCCAAGATGGCTGCAGGATCTCCAGAAATCACATCAAGCTGTAGGCTGGAAGAAAGAAGAAGGTGAGGAGACAGGCATAAGAACCTTTCTGGGCCTCAGTTTTCCCTATCTGTACAATGGGAGAATGGGGTTTGCTATGAAGCTGTGTACTGTGAGATCCCAAGAGCCTAGTCCCAATTCTGGTCAGGATGTTACAGAAAGGGTAATGAGGCATATTTGATTTGAAAATTTTAATAAAAGCTCTGAATCCTACGACTTGCCACGAGGCGTGTGTGTGTGTGTGTGTGCGCGCGCGTGTGCGCACACCCCTGATTGGCTTAAATGTTTCACACAATCGACGTCACTCAGCGGTGTGTGTGCTCGTGGCCTCTCAGCGTCTGTCTCTCCCCTCTGCCTGCAGATGTGAGGTGAGGATCAGCCAGCAGCCCTTTTCCGGGACACGGATGTACATGGCGTGTTACATTCCTGAACCTACTATGTACGGTGCTTATTGCCAGCGTGGTCTTTGTTCTCCTCCGTGAAAACTGTCTCCATGCACACTCTGGAGAACAAAGAGACAGTATACGTTGTTTATGTGACATCAAAGCAAGTATTGTAGCACTCGGTGAAACAATAAGAAGCTTCCTTGTCAAAAAAAAGAGAGCAAACAAAACCACGAAACATGACAAACAAAACTCACTCACAAAAATATCTAAACATTTGCCGGAATGGAGGGACGCCCCGAGGGATGGAAGTGACAGACGTCTCGGCAGACTGGATCTCTTTCCAGGGTGGTCACAGGTGCTTTGGCCAAGGACACAGAGCCTGCTTTCTGAAGGCTGCGATCGGATGCCGCCGGGCTCTGCAGGGGCACGCAGGAGCCAGGAATGTCTCGGAAACCACATCTCCTTGCTGTAGTGTTTAAGTCTATACAGAAACCTTCCTGAGAGCCTTAAGTGGATTTTTTTTTACACCATAAAGTGATTATTAAGCTTTCCTTTCTACTCTTTGCCTAGCTTTTTTTTTTTTTTTTTAATTATCTCTTGGGTGACATTTACACCGATAACACCAGGCTGCAGTAACAGTCAGGACGGTGGGACGGTACCTTTCCTAGCAGGATGCAAACAAATGAGATGTATTAAAATAAACATGGTATACCCACCTATGCATCATTTCCTAAATGTTTCTGCCTTCACGTGTTTCTTCCTTGCCCCATTTTACTCACTTTTTAATTTAAGCCATTTCGAGAGAACTGCGTGAACCAATCACATGCCGTCCCCAGGCCTCTTGCCCTGAGTCCCTCCCACCTGCTGCGGCCAGGCCTGGGGATGTGGCTTTCCAGAGTGGCTGCAGGGTTGCTCCCTGCTGCTGCCGCTGGTGTTTGGACAGAACCTAAACTCTTTATTTTTCGTAAGATGTTACGCTTTACGTGTATTCAACAGAAATTATGTGTGTGTGTTGTTTTTTTGATTTTGTTTTTTTGTAAAGGTGAAGTTTGTATTTTTGTCTAATATTACCAGTTTTATATACCTGAGAGCCTGCCATGTTTTTTTTTGAACCAAAAGGAAAAAACAAACCCACCAACAAAATGCATACATGTGAAAAGCATTTGTGGCCACGTTTTTCTAGTTGCGTAGCCGAGTCCATGCCCTGTCTGTCACGTGGCCCATGGCCCGTGGCCCGTGGCCCGGGTGCTGGAGCTCCCGGGTGATGACTGGGAGATGACAGCGTCCTGGGCTGGCCGGTGATCCCAGGCCTGCCCGTGGGATTCCAGAAGCTACGGGAACCGGCCAAAGGAGCTGTCCTGCTGGCGCACGTGGCCTCACGGAGGCGGAGCCGTGCATCCCCTCAGACGCCGAGTGGACGAGGAAGACCTGACCCCACAGAGCGCGTTGACCGCGGTGTCTGCGCGTGTACCAGTGGACACGGTCAGCCTTACGTCGCCCGCGGCCTACTGCTCCTGTCCTCATTGCCTCAGGGCTCCTGAGACCGTCAGGATCCCTTTGTTGCCGTGGGATCATCTCTGGTGATAGTGTCCCCGGGGTTCAGCTGTTCATGGAGATTCTGTAAAGGAGCGTCTTCAGCGCATCTGCAGGGTGTGGTCTCGGCTGCAGCGTGACGCCTTTCAGCGAGAGCGCGTGGGGGTGGGGGTGGGCGCAGGTGGCGTGGCCCCGGCCCCCCACAGGGGAGCGCCCCCTGTGCAGGTGCTGTGAGGGGTGCCCGCTGCCTCCAGCCCCGTGGCTGGCGCCCTGGGGCTGCGCCGTGCTCGACGCTGTGCTGCGGATACGTGTCTGATGCTAGATGTATAAACGTGATCTGTGTATTTACGTCCCGTGAGATGCTGAGAACACTGCTCAGTTTTTCTTTCTTTGTGCAAAGCCATCTGATGAATGGTCTGTCCATTAAAGAGATGGCGCAGAAAGGCCTGGTGTGCTTTTGGGGAGGAGGAATGTCCCAGAAGGGGAGGAGGGCCTTGGCGGTGGTGCTGGAGGATGTTGGTGGGGGGGCTGTCACTGTGTCACACAGAACGGAGGGTCTCGGGCCAGCTCCCCATTCCCAGATGATGGCAGAAGGCCCTGCGGCCTCAGCTCTGGTGGCTGCCTGGCGCCCGTCCAGTCCGAGGACTCCTGAGGGCCCCAGGCGAGCCTACCTGCGCCCCATCAACCACTGAGGGGTTCAGGTGGCCCCCTCGGCTGGTTCGGCTCCCTTGTCCCATGTGTGTGTGGGTGGAATTCCACTGGAAGCACTAGATACTGGGGAGGAGAGGTTCCCCTAAGGAATCGGGGCGCCATTCAAAGATGTGGCTATACAGTGGGGTGCTGGGTGGAGCCTTAACCTGGGCCCCCAAAGCAGAGCCCAAGAAGGGCTGGGGGGCAGAAAGCTTATTGGAGGGGGAATCCAGGAGTGAAATTGTGCAGCGGGGAGTTGGACTTCATCTGGGGGGCGTGTCAGAGCTGTCTGCCCAGGCTGTGCACACGATGCCTGGCCTCCTGCAAGGTCCCTCCTGTGGCCTTGCCAGAGGTGGGCAGGAGGTCGGGGGATGCCCGTGGGGCTGAGTTGGAGAGCTGGGAGGATGCTGTGGACACAGGGCTGTCTGTGGCAGCCCCACAAAACCACGAGTGCAGGGCTGTGCCCGCAACTCGGGGACGTGTCCCAGACCCTCCACGGCCACCTGTCACCCGCACTTTGTAGCGCGCCCACCTCTGTGCCACCCCAGCCCCCTGCCCTCCAAAGCAGCGGCACCCCACCCTTCCCCCCCCCGTCCTCTCTGAGAGTGACGTATGAAGCCTGGGGGGCCTTGGGCCCTGCCTGGCTGGGAAGTACCCCCGGCCTCTCCTCTGTGCCCTCTGCAGGCCTCATGACCCCCCACCCAGGCCTCGCCACTCTGTTCATTCCATGGGGTACAAATTGCTCCTGAGTCTTGGGGCGCCCAGGTGAAGGAGGAGCCAGTGTTTCTGGGGCTCGGTGGGCAGCCGTCATCCTGTGGGGCCCCTGGCCTGGGAAGCAGAGTGAATGCCCTGAGCGCCCCCAGGCTGGGAGGGCTATTTATCAAGAGGTCTGTCTTCAGACCCTTCCCGGGCACTCGTGGCGGGCAGCTGGAGGTGGGGTGTGGGAACAGGCTCTGCTGGGCTCTTGCCTGCCTGGGACCACCTGGCAGTGTGACCCTCGGTGTCTCACCAGGTGATGTTGGGCGACCTTGCCATGTGACCTTGGCAGGTCACTTCCCCACTCTTGGCTGGACGGCCGTACTGGTCTCTGCGGTGAAGGGAAGGGCTTGGCCCAGAGCAGACCCTCCAGAAGGAGCCGTGGAGCCCTCTACACGGAGGAGGGGCAAGGGAGGAGCTGGTCCTCAGGCCAGGGGAGCAGCCCACTGGGCCTCCTCCTGGTGCTTCCCTAACGGGAGGGGCTGAGAGCCTCCTTCCTCACCCACCTGCTGCGAGGCCGTGAGACAGAGCTTCACCTGAGCAGAGCCTGCAGAGCAGATGACGGGCCAGGAGGCTTCCCTACCGCCCTGTAGGGCTGAGCCCCCTCCAGGCCTCAGGCCACCTGCTCTGCTCACGGCTCCTTCCTGGGTCTTTCTCCTCACCAGCCTGGGACCCTGGGAGGCAGGGCTGGGGTCTGAGTCTTTTCTGGGCCCCTGAGCGCCCCTAAAGTGGGCAGTAGGCTGTTTGCTCAGAGCCCATCCCTATGTCCTTGGGGCCCTGGACCTCAGGTCAGTCACGGCTACACTGAGGGAGGAGCCCTGGGTCACCCCTGGGGTGGAGGCCAGGTCCCAGCCCGGCCTTGGGGATGTCAGCAGCGGGCAGGAGCTGGCCGTCACCCCGCGGCCCCCACAGCCCCATGGCCGGCTGGAATCCACCCCCAGCCCCTTCGGGGCCGGGGATGCAAAGCCTGTGGCTTCTGCAGAATAAAGCAGCGACTGTTCCGGCCGGGCCCTTCAGCTGCCAGAAATGTGGAGCGTTCACTGGCCTCCGGCCTGCCGAGCGGGGGCGGCCGCCTGGGAGGACTGCGCACCAGACGCCGGCCCTGTGCGCGCCCGCTGAGGCCCCTGCCCGGCGCACTCTGGTGGTGAAGCACCCCCAGCGCCCCCCCCCGGCCCTGCGGCCCTCGCAGGCACCTGTCTCTGCCAGGCCGGCCACCGTGGGGCTCCACCAGGTGCTGCCCTGCCTGGAAGTCCCCTGTGGCTCTGGTGTGTAGGGTGTAAGGACAGATGGAAACTCTTCTCTAGGCGGGGGACACACTGCAGGGCCCAGGCTTGGAGGGGGAGCCGCTGCCAGATAGCTCTCCCAAGGGGCCTGGCCCCCATCACCCTCACCTGGGGACCCTGGGCCCTCATCCTGACCGTCTGGGGACGAGGAACCCAGAGTGTGCAGCGGGCAGGCCCCCGCCGAGCCCCTGCCTGGCGGTCAGTCCTCCTCCGCACTTCCAGGCTCCGGGTGGCCATGCCCTCTGCAGGCTGTGGAGGCCCAGCGGGGCACCCGGCAGAGAGGCTGGCTCGGAGCCCCCTCCCGGCTCTTCCTGCTGCGCCTCTGAGATTGCTGGGCTCACGGGCCGTGCGCGGGCCTGGTGGGTGTCATCCTGTGGCAGCTCGGGGTGCCTGGCGCCTTCCTTGGGTATCTTGAGTGGGGGGCCTCTCTCGGGGCTGGCTAGGCACAGGTGCTGGGACACTGGCCCTTTCTTTCTGTCTCGCTGCCCCCAGGTCCTTCCCAGTCCGTGTTCCGTCCTGCAGGCCCTCAGGAAGGGTGGGTGGGTATCCCCGTCACAGCCCCCAGACCCCGCCAGGCCCCAGGTGTCCTTGGATGCTCATGGAGAGGTTGTGGGCCTTCCCTACAGCTGCATTTCTGGAGAGAAAGAGGCAGCTGCAGGCTTGCCAGGACCTGTGTTCCCAGAGGGGCGCTGCCCCCTGGAGCGGGAGGCCTGCCGCCTCGTCAGGACAGAGGCTCAGCTCAGCACCACAGCCCGCCTGCGAACTCTCCCTGACCCCAGAGCCACCGTCTCTTCCTCTGCCAGTCCGTGGCCCTCCACCCTGTCCCCCCCCACCCCCGCAGCACAGCTGGCATCAGGAGGCCGGGTCACCCACCCAGACTGCCTCCGGGGTGGGTGGACGGGCGGAAAAACCAAACCCCGAATTTTAGATGCCAAGGGCAGTGGCTGTGGCTGCTGGGTCTCTAGAGGTTCCTTCGTTCGTTTGTTCATTCGCTCATTCATTCATTTCTGTCCCAGCAGAGTGTACACCGGGGCAGCGCCCTGAGGTGTCAGAGAGGGAGGTCAGTGACCTCACACAGGGCCCCTCTCTGTTTGGCGCTGCTGTCAGCGGAGTTGTTTTCTTAACTTAATTTTGGATTGTTCATTGCTGGTGAGTATTGATCAATATGCAGTTGTTTTTTTTTTTTTTTTTGCGGTACGCGGGCCTCTCACTGCTGTGGCCTCTCCCGTTGCGGAGCGCAGGCTCCGGACGCGCAGGCTCAGCGGCCATGGCTCACGGGCCCAGCCGCTCCGCGGCACGTGGGATCCTCCCGGACCGGGGCACGAACCCGCGTGCCCTGCATCGGCAGGCGGACTCTCGACCACTGCGCCACCAGGGAAGCCCCTGCAGTTGGTTTTTATGTGTCGATCCTGCAGCCTCGCTGCTTTGTTTCTAGCCCTAATGTTTGTGTGGGTCTTGGCATTTTCTATGTACAAGATCGTGTCACCTTCAAACAGGAGTAGCTGACTGCTTGCTTCTTAATCTGGATGTTTTATTTCCTTTTCTTGCTGGATTGCCCTGGTGAGAAGCTCCGGTACAGTGGGGAGAAGTGGGGGGAGCAGACATTGTTATCTTGCTCCTGATCTTAGGGGGAAGGTTTTAAGTTTTTCTCCATTAAATGTGGTGCAAGCCGTGGGTTCCGTCCAGGGCGAGGAAGTTCCCTTCTGTTTCTAGTTTGCTGAGTGTTTATCATGAAAGGGTGTTGGATTTTTTCTGGGTGATGCTTTTTCCACATCAGTTGACATGATCATATGTTTTTCTTTATCCTATTAATATAGTGCA